CATGATCTCCACTTGGATGATGTGGCTGCTTAGATACCAAGGAGGGACTCCAGTTGATGGATGTCAAAAGCCAGACTTTTCCTAGTGAAGTTGTGTAGTCCTCATCCTTGGAGACACTGAGAACCCAACTGGACACAATCCTGGGCAACATCTCTAACTGATCCTGCTCAAAGCAGGAAGGGATTGGCCTAGATGGTCTTCTCAACCGTTCTGGGATGTTCGCCCATTTCTTCAGCCTGTCCCAGTCCCTTGGGATGGCAGCAGGACCCTCTGGTGTATCAGCTACTCCTCCCAGTAGCGAGACCAGCAGACTTGCTAAGGGTACACTCTGCCCCATTAGCCAGATCAGATGAAGGTGTTAAACAGATCAGCCCATTGGCTTACTACGGGCATTATCACCTCCAGGTGTAAGAAGACCTTCCCCATGTTACCTGTTCCCAGAGGTGTTTTATCCTTCCTCATAGGTGCTCCCAGTGTCTCACTTCATCTTTCCTGCTTTGGCTTAGAGCTATTCCTGTGCCTTGTCCAACACAGATGAAGTTTTCCTCCCTGTCTTTTTGCAACAGCTTTGCACAGATTTGAATGCTCAAGTTTTCCCATCAGTTTTCCCTTCTATAGGCAGAGCAGCCCTGTTTACTCAGGCTTTACTGGCAGGTCACGTTGTCTTGCCCTGTTGTCAATCTCCAAGTTCCCCTTAGACTGTCTTTAGAGTCTGTGCTGGAGCTTATTGCCTGCAGCTCAGGACTGTGCAGTGTGGGTCAAGCAAAAGGTTTACATCACCTGTCTGGAAGATTGTAATCCCTGTTATGAATCCCATGATGACATTCCTGCTTTTACATGGAATGTCATTGTAGATTGATGTTCAGGTTGTAGTCTGTAGTATCCCTCCATTCTTCTCTGCGCCACTGGCCAGTTGATCCCCATAGTCCATTTATGCTCTTGTTTGCTGCTTCTAAATTCAGGTCCCTGCAGTTGACCTGAATTATGCAGCATCTTATTCTCTTTGTTGAACATCATTTCTGGTCTGTTAGGATTGTTCTGAGTCATAGAATCGTAGAATGGTATGGGTTCAGCTTTATATCCTAAGCATGACATCATATAGTGTAGAATATCCCTTGGGTCATTTGGGGTCAGCTGTCTTGGCTGTGTCCCCCCTAACTCCTTGTCCACCCCCAGTCTTCTCACTGCTGGGGTGGTGTGAGGAGCAGAAAAGGCCTTGACTCTGTGTAAGCTCTGCTCAGTAGTAAAGAAAATATCCCTGTGTTATCAACAGTCTTTCCAGCACAAATCCAAACGTAGCGTCATACCAGCTACTGTGGAGAAAATTAACTCTGTCCCAACCAAAACCAGCACAAGTGCTCTCTAACCTATTTCTTTCATACTGAAATCTTCCCTTTCATTCCTGCTACTAATGCTGGCCATGTGAATGTCCCTCTGCATGGAGACTGATGTGTGTAAAGGAAATCATAGAATAGTTAGGGTTGGAAAGCACCTTAAGATCATCCAGTTCCAACCCCCTGCCATGGGCAGGGACACCTCACACTAGACCATGTCACCCAAGGCTCTGTCTAACCTGGCTTTGAACACTGCCAGGAATGGAGCATTTACCACTTCTTTGGGCATCCTGTGTCAGTGCCTCACCACCCTTACAGTAAAGAACTTCTTCCTTATATCCAACCTGAAATCTTTAGTTAATTTTGCCTTCCAGTATCTTTCCCAACCCAAGAATCATGGACCAACCCTTTCCTTGACATCCTGCATCCTGCTCTTATATCCCCTGCATGACTGACTTCTACTGGGTATATAAAGCAAGAAGTAGTCACATCTCATTAAAATACAAATGCATGTCTTTGGCAGGATGGATGGCCTCTTAGTCTGGCTTGGGGGTGGTTGTTCCTTCATTTGTACTTTAGGTGATGAGGCTAAAGCTGTGATAAAATGCTTTTTTCTCCCTCTTTCCTTTCCCCTCCTGTATCCAGTATTTCAGGCAATACTTGTTCCAATCTGTACCAACTGCCTTCACAGTAAATTGGACAAGTCTCCCTGAGGAGCAGTAGACAAAAGACTTAGGAGGTGCCATGGGGATGGGGAGGGAAATGCTTTTATTGCCAATCAAATCAGAGGCATTTAGATCTACTCTTCCATTTTCCTGTAAATATCTTACTGTGGGGTAAGAGTGTGGTTGCGGAGCTGTGTGAATAGCGAGTATTTCAATGGCTTAGTAGGACGGGGTGGGAGGTGGTTGTTGCTAAAAAGGATGCTTGAACTAAACCAAAATATTTCATTTTCTTTCTCTGTTTTTTTTTTTCTCCCTCAGAGGGTGAAAAACTTTTAAAATGGAAGCTTTGAAAATGATAAATGAACATGAAGCGTTTGGAGTGCTCTAAAAGCCATCCTGCTCTCCCCCTTCAGCACCGCTCCGCTGGGGACAAAAATAGATGCATTCACTGTTTGCCAAAGGAACGCTTGCCCAGTTGTAATCAAGTCATTTTACGATGCAGTGTAGACTTTTCACTCCACGTTTTGTTGTGTGTGGCTTTGGGGAAGTCATGGCAGCAAATGCTTGCGCTTGCTTATCTCCAAAAAGAAAGGATGGGTCAAGATCAGCCTCTGTTTTCAAGCTGTTGGTTGTCCCGCTTCCCTGCTTGCAGTGGTTTTAATCTGTAGCCATGCTTTGAGATAAAGAAAGCACAAGTCATTATCCCTGCCCAGAAAGTTCCTCGTAATGATCTTCTATGTGCTGTTATTTTCCCAAGTAGGAATTTTGCTGGATCTTTGGTTGGATTTTGCAATGGAGTTGTGTTACTGTGGGAGATGTGGGCAAATCTGAAACCTGGGAGAGATAAGAGTTGTTCTTAAGTCCGCTGCAGGCTCCCCGAGTGAATCTTCATCTTGTTTCTTGTGGTGCTTAGTAGTTGTGATAAGTGACTTCCATCAAGACATTATAGGCTCCATATAGTTTGACATGCTCAACGTGACTGATTATTGTGTTGTTGAGTGTCTTGGAAACCCTTGCCTTGCAGATGGCTTCTTTTAACTTCCCCTCTCATTTACTTCATTTTTTTGTCTCTTCAACGCACACACAAATACACACATTCATCCTTCTCTTTGGCTGTTTGGGCTATTGCAGGTTGGCTGCCATAGGTTTGTACTAAAGATTGTTCTCCTAAAATGAAAGATTTATGGCCTAGGGGCACCTGTAGCCTTAGATGCCAGTGGTACACCGGGACTGGATGGAGAAGCTGTACTCTGGATTTACTCTGCTTTTAATAGATTTAGCTTCATCCTTTGGTTTGTCAAGGCAGTTGTGCTTTCATCCTTTTTTATGTATCTGGCCCAGTTAGGTGAGAATGGTGAGTGATTTCCTTTAGTCCTAAAGTTTCCCTGGGTGGTGAATCTCAGTGGTGAATCTGCTTGGTTTTGATATTTTGAAAGATAAAAAGGAGACTGAAGTACAAGAGGTATCCCATACCATTAGGCTGTTCCCAGTGCAGTCCACAACTGGGTATTTCTCCATGGAGGACAAAAGGAATAGTTGCAAATACACCACTGTGTCAACGCCACCCAAAAGAGACTTCAGCTCTTTTGCTGAGGCATCTATCAATGCATACATCAGGACATCATGCAACATGTGGCCGTGTGTCAAGCAGCTCCTGCAAGCTGGTGACCATTCCCAGCTCTTTGCATGTCAATGGGATAGAGTCTTGTCCAGGCCATGTGCAGTTTGTGTACCCAAGCCCAGGATGGAGCACTGTATCTCTTGTTATCCAGCCTTACACCCCAGTATCTTTCTCAGTGCAGGAAAGACATGGACCTGGTGGAGGAGGTCCAGAGGAGGCCACAGAACTGATCAGAGGGATGGAACACCTCTCCTGTGAGGAAAGCCCGAGAGAGTTGGGTTCTTCAGCCTGGAGAAGGCTCTGGGGAGATCTTACTGTGTCCTTTCAGTGCCTGAAGGGGGCTTGTAAGAAAGATGGGGACAAACTGTTCCAGTGCCTCACCACCCTCACAGTAAAGAACTTCTTCCTTATCTCCAACCTGAAATTCCCCTATTTCAGTTTGAACCCATCACCCCTTGTCCTGTCGCTACAGTCCCTAATGAAGAGTCCCTCCCCAGCATCCTTGTAGCCCCCTTCAGACACTGGAAGCTGCTCTGGGGTCTCCACACAGCTTCTCTTCTCCAGGCTGAACAGCCTCAGTGTTCTCAGCCTGTCTCCATACAGGAGGTGCTCCAGCCCCTGATCATCCTTGTGCCTGTCTCTGGACTTGTTCCAACAGCTCCATGTCCTTTTTATGTTGAGGACACCAGAACTGCACACAGTAGTCCCAAGTGATTTCTCACAAGGGCAGAGTAGAGGGGCAGGATCAGCTCCTTCAACCTTCTGGTCATGCTCCTGTTGACGCAGCCCAGTGTTTCTCTGGCAGGGCTGCATTGATTCCATCCTGCTGCTGTTACCTTGCAGCTTTTCCTTTTGCCTTTCCCCCCCCCCTTTTTTTTTTTTCTAAACCAGCAAGGAAAAATAACTCTGGCTCCAGTATTTATACCAGAGGCCCGGGAGCTTATAATATAGCAGTAAACTGTCTCTTTTGAGAGCTCATCAAGACTGCGCTGTGATGGATAGACTCCTAGCCAGCTGCGGAGTGGTAATGTTCCAGAAGACAGCATTGCCTTTTGTTGATCGAGTGCCTAAGTTTTTGCCTACCAGCTCAGGATCTCAAAACACCTTGTGAACAGCGGGGAATTAAATCTTGCCATGGCTGAAACAGATCAATAGTTGTCCTTTATCACTGGAGAAGATAAGGCACAGGGAGCTCAAATGACTTGGTTGCCCCTTATATCTGGTGTGGTCTAGGAAAACTGGATTTTAGTGCAGTGGGCATCCTGAAGTTTGGAGATGCTCCTGTATTTATTTCATTTAGCTTTGGTTTTTCCTGGTTTTCTTGGAATACCGGTGTTGAACTGACTTTTAACAGTGTTGTATCTTTTTCTGTTGTCTTAGGTTTGAAGTATAATCCTGCACCTTACTATCTAGAAAATGTCTTATGGATCCATTGATGGAAGTGGATTTGGGAGCAGGAATCCATTTGGAGGCCCTTCAAGACAAGGCTATCAACCTCTCGGTAAGGTATTGATCCCTTCCTGTAATGTATTCTACTTGGCTCCCTGGGGGACTGTAGTTTTACTTGCTCATGTTCAATGTGGCTGATGTATAAATATCACACTGGCTCCAAGGGTCACTTCTGATACTGATTTTCGAAGGTGAAAGCCCAGCTTCTGTTGGGTTCAATTTGCATCATACTTATATGATGAGGCGCCACATCTTAACGCGCTCAGGACTTCAGGCTGCAGCATGGAAGAGCAGCAATGATGAGAACTTTGGAGGTATTTTGGGGGACTATGTAGCATGTTCTCTGGCCCTGCTCATGACTTTCCTCATCTCCCCATCATGTTTGCAAGAAGTTTGTCCAAATGGTTGCTCTCCTCGTTGCAGGCAAGGGGAGTAGATGGGAAGATGTGCAAAGGGCACACAGAGGGTAACTTAGCTGCTGCAGGTGCTGCTTGCATGTGGGAAACTTGTTCAGATGTGGCAACAGGACCAAAAACTTGCTCAGGCAGTGCTGAAACCATAAACAGTGTCTGGCAAATGACTGTGGATTCTATTTTTAAGCACAAACCAGATGTGCTTCCTGTGCCTGTTCCCACCTTGCCCCAGAGGACTCCGGTAATGCTAAAGTAGAAAGAGAAAAGCATCCAGGTGTCAACTTGTGCATCTGAAATGGTCCTAAGTGTGCAAGTCAAAGCTGTGCTTCATAAAAGCAAATTCATAATGTAACTGTCCTAACGTGGAGCACAGGTAACGATTATAACTCCTGCTTTTGAGTGTTGAAGGTGTTGACTCTGCTGTGTCCCCTTCTTGACACAGGCAAGGTGTAGGAGGTGTTCTTTGGCAAGAGAACACTGGGTATCACAGTGGTTGTCCCTGTTGATGTGAGGCTGGCTTGTGCATGGAGGTTTAAAGTAGATCTCATCCTGACCACTTCAGAGCTGCTGTTTGAGGCCAGTCCACATGGGAACGGGCAGATGAGACCACAGCTCCAGCTGCCCAGATGTGCCCCACATCCTGATCCAGATGGACAACTGCTGTGGGGCTGGATCTGGGTTAATCTAGTCTGGCTTTCAGGAGGCCTTGTTAGCTGGAGCATATCCTTGCATTTAATTTTGGTCCTGGGTCTGGCTTGCACTGCAGTGAACTGGGAGTGCAGACCTCTGCAGAAGCATCAGGAATGTGATCTTATAGCAGGGGGCTGTGTTATCTCTTTGCACCAGGGAAGAACATCACCCCTCTCTTCAATTCCCTTTGATTCCAACTGGGCTGTTCATTAATGCAGCCTGATGTGATTTTCAAGCTTTGAGGGTTGCAAATGTTCTTCAAGAAACATTTAATTATTTTGCAAATAGCTGTTTCCCCTGGATGGATATATATATATAAAAAAAAACCTTAGTTTTCTCTTGGTTTCCCGTTTTCCTACAAGTTTGGGTGTAATTATGACTTTTCTCCTTTGAACAGGGAGAAGGTATTGAACTAAGTGTGAGTTGTCTGTGCAGCTGTAAATAGAGATTTTTAGGCTATTTTACAAGGCAAAATGAAAGACATAAAAGCAAGGAAGAATGAGATACTTGGGCACAATGAAAGAACTGTAAGAAAAGAAAATTGAAATGTGGACCAGACAAATGATGAATCTCTGTGCATTGTAGTTTAGGTTAAAAAAACATGAATACTTATTGTGCTGTGTGAAAAGACCACTATTTTTAATGCAAATTCACAGAATAATTCAAGACACTTGCAGTCTCTCAATATTTGAAGAGATACCTCATTGTGCCCAGCTTGCCCAGTGTTTGGCAGTTACTGATGTGATGCTGAAGTCACCATCAGTGGATTGTAGAAGCAGTTGATGTGGAAACATCAGGTTTCCTGAGTCCATGGTCTGCTGGCTGCCGACTGGAGCCTGTTACCATGTTGGCTTATGTCTTGGAGTTGAGTTCTGGCTTCCCCTTCATGCGTGCACACATCATCTTGTGTAGCATTTGTGATGGACACATCCCCATGGTTCTCCAGGGCTGATTTCCCTGGGAAGCCAGAATTGGTTGTGGACTTGCTAAATACCAAGTTGGTCTCTTGGCTTGGCACCCCTATGGCAAGAATTGCAAGGGAAGAAACCTGATTGCATTGGCCAGGGCAGCTTGAAGAAACCTGTTTCCTTTATGTGTGTCTCGATCAGAGATGTTCATGTGAACCAGAATTGATTTCCATGCCCCTTCACCATGGGAGACTGAGTAACACATGCTGGATGTCTGTTGTTGTAGTATCCCTAAGTATTGGCATTAATTAAGTGTCAGGAGAGGGTAATGCAACACTAATTGTCTTCCTCCTGCTTCTGGAAGACAGATGACTGGCTTGCTAAGACAAACTATTAGATCATGGTATGGCTGGAACAAAAGAGCATGGCCTTCCTGCCGGCATACATATGTCTGCTCACAGCAGGCACAAACCTTGATGGACACATTCTATATGTGCTTTAAACCTCTTCTTTTTATCTACTAAATAAGTATACCAGATGCCATCATCCCTGTCCAATGGTAATGTGTGGTCCAGCAGTAATGTTCAGGCATCCAACAGCTGCAACAATAACGGTGATGGGGGTGGCACTGCTCAATAGCCTTTTGGTAGTAAATTGGCATGGAAGCAAAAACCAAGCAGATTTTGGCAGCCTTAGCTCATGCAAGGAGCTGGAGGCTTGTCACAGCAAGTGGCTGTGCAGTGGGATGGGGGAAAACAGAACCACTGGGGACTTGATTTCAGAAACCTTTAATTTCATATAAGAAAGCAAAGACTCAAGGGGTTTGTGGGTTGGTTTGTTTAATAAAAGGTGGTACTATCAAAAGGGTATCCTCTGTCCTCATACCCATCTGCCCATGTTGGCTGCATTTCCTCCTTGCTCAATCCGAATGCGCTCCCCAGGATGGACAAAGATTAATTACATGAAGGCTCTTCTCTTGGCCCCAGGCTGGCATGATGATGGATGGGCTTAGAGCCCATCACTGAATGGACTGAGTGGTGGTTGACCTTGTTGACCAGCCTGATTAGAGAGATCCATGGGCTCCATTTGCAGTTTTTGGAGGAATCCAGGAGGCAGTTTTGGGGGGAGTTTGGTTTGCCTGGGATTTCTGAGTGTCAGACAATTGTGGTTCAAACTCTGCTTTTGCTGGTGGTGTTGGGTATCCAGAGTCTTGGTTGGGGGTGGGGGGAACAATCTACTACTATTACTGCTACTACTAGTACTACTATTACTATTATTATTATCATTATTATCATCATCATTATCATTATCATTATTGTTATTGTTAGTATTTCCCTATTTGAAATTGTTGGGAGGAAAGAGAGATTGCACTCATCAAAACTCAAATGTTCTGTGGTTAGGGAGCACCCTAGGGTGTGTTGTATGGAGACCACCAGGATGACATGGAATATAACAGCTTTGGGGGCTGACAGTGTCATCCCACAGCCACTAAAGAACAGTGTGGACTGGCAAGTAGAGGTGTAAGCTGTGTCCCTGCTTTGCAGTGGTGAGTTGTGACCTTCTCCAGCAGCATCTGTGTTTCATATCCTTGTTTTGCTCCCCCAAATCCATGTAAACCCAAATGAACAGGTTGCCCAGAGAAGTGGTGAATGCTCCATCCCTGGCAGTGTTGAAGGCCAGGCTATACAGAGCCTTGGGTGACATGGTCTACTGTGAGGTGTCCCTTTCCATGGTAGAGGATTGGAACTGGATGATCTTAAGGTCCTTTCCAATCCAAAGCATTGTGTGGTTCTGTGTTCCTCTTTTTCTGTGTAGGAACGTCTCTGAGCTTCAGCTATGCATTGGTGCTGCCTCGAGAAATTATAAAGTAGATAGTAGGAATGTGTTGGGTATTTTATTTTGGCTTTTGTATTCTAAGTTAAGAAATGAAAAAGATTGAAATTACTTAAAAAAAGATATTCTTTCCAGTAGCTGAAGGGGGCCTGTAGGGATGCTGGGGATGGACTCTTCATTAGGGACTGTAGTGATAGGACAAGGGGTGATGGGCTCAAACTGAAACAGGGGAAGTTCAGGTTGGAGATAAGGAAGAAGTTCTTTACTGTGAGGGTGGTGAGGCACTGAAATGGGTTGCCCAGGGAAGTTGTGAATGCTCCATCCCTGGCAGTGTTCAAGGCCAGGTTGGACGAAGCCTTGGGTGATATGGTTTAGTGTGAGGTGTCCCTGCCCATGGCAGGGGGGTTGGAACTGGAGGATCTTAAGGTCCTTTCCAACCCTAACTGTTCTATGATTCTACGATTCCATGTCTAAAATAAACAGAGGCCAGTCACTACAGCTGTAGGAATTAAAACCTTATGATTTTGGTATGTGCAACACGCACAGTCTGCCATGTTCAACCTGTCTTCCCCAAACCGTCATTCTGTAGGGGAAATGAACAAGACCTGCTGTATACATGAAGAGGCTCAGAGGTCAGGGAATTCAAAGAGCTTGAATTAAAACGCTACAAGCCAGAAAATCTGCTTTTATTAACCTTGTGCACTGGACATTGAATCATAGAATCACAGAATGGTTTGGGTTGGAAAGGACCATAAAGCTCATCCAGCTCCAACCCCTGCCATGGGCAGGGACACCTCACACTAGACCATGTCACCCAAGGCTCTGTCCAACCTGGCCTTGAACGTTGCCAGGGATGGAGCATTCACCAGTTCTTTGGGCAGCCTGTGCCAGTGCCTGAAATGCCAGTTGAAAGGGTGAGGGTAATTCCATATCCTGGAGGTGCAGTGCTTCTAGGTGTGCTTAAGCAACCACTGGGTCAATGCTTATTTTTACTTCATTTAGACCATTCTTCCTTCAGTTGCTCATGAGGTTACTCAGTGGGGCACTGGCTAGAGTTCTACTCAAGATATATCGCGTGTGCATCTTTCTCCTTGTCTGCTAGGTTGGTTATCTTGTCGCAGGATGAAATTAGATTGGTCCATGCAAGTTGTTCTTGGCAGCGTTCAGTGGGTATATATCACCTAATGATCACTTGGGTACTTAGCAAT